ATTGGGGGTGGTTTTGGATGTATACCTTTTGTTTGGGGTGAACCAGGGATTATACATTTTGGGGGAAGGATGTGAGGATACCCAGGAAGGGAAGGTCATTGGCTGAAGGCTAAGGCAATTGAGATGCCTCATTAGCATGGAGTGAGTGCCTGTGGTCACCTAAGTTGGGGGTCATGGTTCCAAAGCAGGCATTAGAGGCAGAGAGGGAACAACCCCACTCCTGTCATCTCAGATCTCTGAGATTTTTTGGGTTTTGAGCAAACCCCACTTCACAGGTTTTTATGCCTATGTGGTGGTTTGTAAGGCATGTCCACATGCCCTACAAACAGCCAACAGGCTCAGCTGGACTCCTGAAGATGGTGGCGGTTTGCCTCAGAGGACAGTCCTGTACAATAGCCACTTAGCCTTCTCCTAAGGTCATCAACATTGAAAATACACAGACTTTGTTTCTGGAGTATGAACAGCCCAGTGAGGAAGGGGCCACCCTCTCTGTGAGGACCAATGGAAACCCAAGGCTACGTAGACTCCAGTGTTTACCATCTGGTTATGAACCTTGACTAAACCTGGATGTGTTGGAGGGAGACTGAAGCTACAATTCTTACTGACACAGAGTGACTTCTCTACCCTGACCATTCCTGGTTTATCTGGTTCCCAGCTCTCCTCACTGAGACTGATGACAAGCCCTAACCAGCTTTACTAAAACCCATCTTAACTGGTAGGACAGACCAACGTCTTTCTGCTCATTCCTTTCTGGTCCAACCTAACTTTCCCGTTCCCTTCCTAGGCAGGGTGTCTTATCCAAATGACAAGTCCAGTTAAAGATTTTTGATAGTCTGGAGGCTCTCAAACATTTTTGAGTCCCCAGTCCTCTAATGTCCTGGAGCCGTCAAGGATTCAAGGATTCTCCCTAAAGATCTCTACGTTACCAGAAAAATTCCCTTTGACATCTGGGATACCTCCATTCCTGGATGCTCACCAAGAGATGCCATGGCTCTTAACAAATTTCCTGAAAGTCCCCAATGTGCTTGTCTCTCTTTATTGATTCCTGGTTTGTGGGTTTCTGTATCCTGTAACACTCCATGACGCACCTGTACCTCAACAGTAAGGAAGTCAGATGGAGCCTACAGAATGGTGCAGGGCCCGAGGACCATAAATGAGGCTTTCCACTCTCCTTTATGTTCAGACTCTTATACCCTCTTGGGATAGATGCCTGCCAACACCTCCTGGGTACAGTATTAGATCTAAAGAGAGGCTTTCTTTTGTATTCCTGCCAGGCCCAACTCTAGGTTCCTGTTTTCCTTGTAATGTGGGATCCCTCTCTCCAGGTTGCTCAGCAGCGCCTGGGTGCTGTCATACCTCAGGGTTTTTAGGTTAGCCGCTGCCTTTATGGACAGATCCTAGCAAGAGAACTGTCATCCACCTAAACTTCACCTTGGGAATGTCACCTTCTGTATATCCATCAGTTAGACTTCATCCTAACTCTACAGAGGCAGGCCTTCAATAGATAAGATTTCTCTCTTTCAGAGGCTCAAATCGCTTCGCAAAAGGTCCAGGTCTTGAGACCATGAGTCACACAGCAAGGGTCTCATTTTAACTATGGGGACCTCAGCCAGAAGACAATAAGCAGAGGCCCTTGTGGGCACAGTAGGTGAATTTGGACTATCTAGATCAGCCGAGTAGCTAAAGCCTTCTATGAGGCCTTCAGGGAACCAAAAAGGCAGAGGAGCTCTTAGACCATTGAGATGACATAGCCTCAGACCTGCTAAAATTCACCCAGGCATTGGATTTCCCGATCATATTAAACCATTTCCAGTAGGCTTATGACTGATGTAGCACACAGCACTAGGAGTTTTAATCCAAATTCTGGGGCCCTCACACTCTGTACTAGTTTGTCACAGTAAGTTGTGAATCCCCAGTGGTACAGGAGCTGGCTTTCTTGCCAGCTTCACAGGCATTAGCTCATGGCATCACACTCACAGGGAGGATTGAGAAATACAATATATCTCCTTCAGCCCTTCATAGTGCACTCTGGGGACCGATGAGGCTTCTGAGGAGGATGACCGTTGTGTAGAGTGGCAGCCAGCCAGTGTGAAACATTGTTGCCAGCACTTGGTTTCACCTGGTCTCATCTTGCCTCACCTAGCAAGGCAGGCAACATACAGACTCCAGGACTGATGCTCCTGCACTAGCGGCTGTGAGAGGCGAGGAGGAATGCCAGTCCCCCTCCAGATCTTACCTCAGCCTTTCTTACCTTGTTCTAAACTTCGTCCAACTCTTAGCAGCCTTAGCCCTCCCCCAAAACTGAATGGATTTTTAGTCTTACTTTTTGCTTAGACATGTCCACAGGCTGAGAAACAAGAAATCTGAGACCCACACGGAGACCTGAGTGGCAGTGGAGCGTGAGTGAAGCAGACAGGAGACGGAATGTTCCTCCCTACGTCCTGGGAGAGAATGTTAGCATGTCAACTACACATCACTTATGGTGTCTGTGATGTCCCCAGATGTCCCCTTTCCTGCCCCCAGGACACATGCATTATTGAAGGGCTGATGTAGGAGTCCAGTGGGTGCTACTGGGCCAGTGTGGGGCCACAGGCTTCCTGCCTGTCTATGCTTGTACTGAGCATCCTCACGATGCTCCTTCAAGCCTGGGGGATGGGTTAGTTACAAAAGTCAGTCATGGGAACATGTGATTTTTATTATATTACAAAAACAAAAATTCCCACCGAAACACAGCTAAAAAAATAACACATTTTTCTAAGATGACATTACCCAAAACAGTTAATAGAGTCATTGGACTGTATCCATCAATACTGCTTGGAGAAGCATTTCATCACATTGACAGTTTGGTTTTGGTTTTTGTCTCCCATCTGAAATGCTGTTCTAAGTAGCAACTTTTGACCCTTGCGGGGTTCGTGCACAGGAATCGGGTGCTGGTATTACAAACTCAAAGGTCAAAGCAGGCCAAGGCAGAGCTGTCAGGCATGGTAAGCAGGGCCAGGAAGGGACAGAATTGCTGCTGTTAATTGGATGCACAAAGCTCCCTGGGACCTTACGGGCTGAGGCTGGAGTGGCCTGCTTGTACAGCCTTGAGGTACCTGCTCTTGATCAACAGATGTCTTTCAGGGTCCCCCAAACTCGTTTCCAGAATAGTACTTCAGTGCTCTTGAAAAACCTGGCGACTGGAAGATTTGCTTTCTCTTGCTTTCTGTGTTTTGCAGAACAAAGTTTGGTTCAGACCCAAAGGCCGGTTCCTAGAGAGTTACTCAGCCAAGCCAAGCCTTGCCTCTGATATTCATTTCCTGGCAGATGGTCCCTTACAGTTCCCTCCAGGCCTGTCAGGATCCTGGAGGCTCATGAGACAGCTTTGGCACTTGAGGCAGGGTCTAGGGAGACACACAGCTCTGGGTCCTCACCGGAGATGGGCTCTTCCCTCCTCAGATGCCTGGTGACAGCCACTCCTAATCCTTCCCAGGAGCATGTGGAGTGCTTAGGATGGCCTCTCCAGGACAATGCCTGAGACATATTTGTGTGAGATCCCAGAACTGAAGCACATCTCAGTGGGACTCACAGGCCTAGGAGTGAGAATGTGCTGCCTAGTTCCTGAGGGAGCATGGGGCAGCATGTACCTCAGGAGAGAGCACCCACCTCTGCCGTGAGCTGATGCCTGATGCAGGGAACTCAGTCTGTCTAGCCTCAGCTTCCTCGTCTGTGCAACAAGAGGTGTGTGCTCAACCTGAGGCTTTGTGAGGTGTGTTACCACTAGCTGGGATGGCCACACCCTGCATCCAGGAAGCTCTACGCCTGGTGCTGCTGCTGTTAAAGCTCATCTGGGTTCAGGACCCTCCAGAGCCTAAGCTGTCAATGCCTGTCAAGTTGGAAGAGCCTGCATGGTCAGCCCTGATCTCTGGCGATGTGATGCCTGCACCTACCCTAGGTGCACCCAAATCCTGCCCCTCAGAGATTCATGAATCATGTGGGTGGTAGCCACCCAAGTTTGCAGAGCTTGCTAAGATTGGAAACATCTACCCCTGTGCTTCTAGGAAGCAGTGCTGATATGAAGCCAGTCCTGGTAGTGCTGACTGTGGCCATTCCGTGGGCTCCACTGCTTCTGTTAGTCCACACTAACGAACGCCAGGCTTAAAGGGAATGGCTCCATGGAGCCTCGGCACATTGTTGGACTTTGCTGCGGCAGGGGCTCCTCTCTGGTCCTCCACTCCTGGCAGGGACTGCCAGGGTTTCTCATCTCAGAAGTTCACAAAGTTTCTGGCAGATACAGGATCCCATTGGCTGAGTGCATGCAGGAGCTGTCTCTCAAGCCTACTGACTCCTTGGGGGTGCATCATGAAGATCAGGGTCCCCAGCAGCTGCCCCAGTTCCAGCCCATGAGGATGGGCTAGCACTCAGTCACAGTGCCAAGACTCTGAGCACTTAGCGTAGGCAGAATAGATGCTCCTCACAGCTTGGGTGTGACCTGCACTGCCGCGGCTATGCTCTCTCTGAGTCTCTTTCCCATCCGACCACCCTGGCAACAGGTGAGGACCCTTCCTGGCTTAACGCTCAGTTTTTCAGACTTGTTGAGAAGTGTGTGTGTGTGTATGGACACGCTAGGTTGATCTCAGAAGGGAATGCTGAGAGAGTCAGGGTGTGTGGGGGTGGGGTGGGGGGAGAAAGCAAGCTGACCCACCAAATAGAAAGAGTAACGTTTTATCAAATATTGACAATTCAACTTTCGGTAGTCTGAGACTCATTCTGTCCCTCTGTCTGTCCAGAGAGATCCCTAAGAGGCTGCTGCGGGCAGCATTTTCAGGGTGCTGGCTGGAGGCTGAGGCCAGCAGCTTCCTCAACCAAGACTCAGGAGACATGGGGGGAACAGCAGAATGGCCTACATTAGGAACAGATTTGTCTGCACATCCTGCAGAGGAGGTCTCTGGCCTCTGAATTCACCTTCAAGACACAGTGAAATCAACCCGCAAGTAAGTGCAGAAGACACGGAGGCCCAACTGCGTGTGGCTGGCGGGGAGAGAAGATGCTGGAATACTTTGTGGCAGAGGGTGAGCAAGTGATGGATGCCACTCTGTCCTGGAGGTGGCAGAGTCCTCAATAGAAAAGAGGATCGAATGGGTACCGCGTACCCACCCACAAAGGGACAGCCCCCTGTCTCAGCACTTGACACACAACATGCCCACATGTACATGTAGCTAAGGACCGTTCCAGAAGTTTCCTAGGGGGAGTTAGTTCATGAGCAACTTCCCTTCAGGAATGGCGTCTGGCAGAAGGCCCTTGCTGTTTCTGTGGGCACAGCCGAGGAGGTCCCACTTCCAGGGGCAGTCTCTCACAGAGGAGGGCAGGAGAGGATACGTTCCTCAGTGGCTCTCCGTCTCTGTGAACTCCTCTTTGATGGGCTGCTTACGGGACTTGCAGTCAGGGAGGTCAAAACCAAAGTCCGCCCACTCATCCGGGCCTGTTACCCCACCTGCTCCTCCACGGTTGGGGATCGTGATGGTGTGGCGCACACGGAAATGCACGGCTTCCATGACCCGCTGTCGCTGCAGCTCGCCAGAGCCTCCGATAGAGATGGTGGCCGCGTTGCTGCTGGAGCGGAGTAGTTGCTGACCGCAGTCGTGACTCTGCTTCAAGTCCTGTAGGCCCCTCCAGATGGTCATACGGTACTGGTCAGGGATCTTCAGGGCCCCAAGGTCCTGCAAGAGCGAGAGCCACCTTCAGGTTACAAAAAGTAAGTTGTGTGTCCCTCACACCAAAGGCGTCCTACCTTCAAGGAAGCCTCTGCTTTAGGGGCCACTGACTTATCAGACCTTGACTATGTAGTGACAGGGTAGGGACTGCATCGGGGTCACCTGCAGAGTGTCTAGCCACATACCTTTCTAGGACAGCTAGATGACATGTGTGGGACAGTGACGAGAGCCCCTACACCAGCCTGGGTCCTGGACACAACTACAGCAGCAATGGAGACCTAAGAGACCACCCATCCATTCCCAGGCCTCAGGCTATCCCTTGGCAGCCGTTAGTTGGTAGTCGCTCCAATCGTATCCCTTAGCGTCAAGCTCTGGTGAATCAAGGGTTAATGTATGACTCAAGGTCAGGGAAGGTAGTTAGTGGTCAGGTCACACAAATGCAGGTGTTAGGCACCAGCTCCATGGCCTCTGATAAGTCTTTGGGTCCAGCCTGGGTTCCTAGGCAGGGGAGAGTTCTCGGCCTGGATGAGAGTCTAGGAAACAGTTATGGGAGACATAGCAGGAGGGGCTGAGCAAATGCACCCGGGGCCCTGGGGTGGGAGGGGCTG